CTCCAGCGGTGCGAGGGAGGGGGAGGACTAGCGTAGACTAGCGCGGCCGACGGCTCGGGGCTCGGGCTCCGCTCGGCTCGGCTCCGCTCGGCTCGGTTCCGCCCGGCTCGGCTAGTGGCTCGGCGCAACAACGCGTAGCGCGAGCGACGCGACGCGACGGCCTCAGCCGCCTCAGCCAGCCAGCCGCCTCACCGCCCCGCCTAGCGCAGCTTGCTATACGTTCTCTTTAATATTTCTTAATCGAGAGTTAAAGCAATGACACCTTACATTACTCATGTATAGTTATGTTTAGATATATTTAGGTGTAAGGTTGTAAGGTATCATCTGCTAAAAAGAAATTTTTACTGGAAAGTTTTTATAACGTCGAATCAGGATAAAAGCCTGTCCTAACGCACGGTTGACTTGTTTTGCAGACCAACGTCGCCGGCATCGCCCTGTCGCCGTCGGGCCGCGAGCGCACCATCTACTACTCGCCGCTGTCCAGCACCCGGCTCTACTCGCTGCCCACCAGCGTGCTGCGTGAGCCCGGCCGGGACATCGGCGGCTCCGTCAACGACCTGGGCCAGAAGCTGGGCGTGAGCGACGGCATGTACATGGACAGCGCCGGCGTGCTCTACTTCGGCGTCCTGCAAGAGAGCGGCGTCGCCCGCTGGGACTCGCACCGGGAGCAGTTCGCGGCCGGCCAGCGCATCGTCGCCAGGGTGAGTGTCTTTCTCCTCCTCGTTCTGGTGGTGAGGAGTGGATCAGATTTCGATTAATCGAGAATCTCAGAATCTAACCATCGCGCCTAAAACCGTGAGGACTTCTGTCTGAGGAGCTCGAACCTTCTATCTCCTCGCCTCCGCGGCATCTTTTGTGCGAATGTGTGGTGTTCCACGCTCTGGCGGCGCCACCCTCCGCGCGTCCCCGCGGCGTGACCCTGGCGTCGGCGTGACGTCCCGCGTGACGTGAAGTGACGTGACGCGTGACGTGTCGCGTGATGTCACGTCGCTTGGACACGGGGGAGCGCATCCTGCCGGGACAGCACGCGGCGGACATCATATTTGGGAAAAATACGGAAATAATTTCACAGCAACAGAACTCTTGTGTAGTGTGCTACACTTTGTCACAGTAGTAAGTGCGCCATTTAGATCGCGTTTGCAGTCACGAATATCGTACGTACAGATTTAAGTTTCAAAACTTCCGACCCACCTGACATTCACTTTGGGTAGGGAGGGGGGGGGACGTTTCCTTCTGGTAGAGACAGTCTTGGGGATTATATTTTCGCCCCCCTCTGACCGCACGGCTGCCTCTCTCTCTCCCGCAGGACCCGCGCCTGCTGCAGTGGCCCGACACCTTCGCCATCGACCAGGCCGGCAACCTGCTCGCCGTCACCAACAAGCTGCAGAACTTCCTGCGGAATCGGCCCATGGACCACGAGCCCACGTACCGGGTGGTGCGCGCCGCGCTGGGCGTGCAGTCGTACCTGAGCGGTCCGGGCGGCGCCTTCGGCACTGCCTACCGGCCGAACCCCGGCATCACAGGTGAGCTTATATATCCCCCGTAACATCGTCCTGCCAGTGTCTCTCGCACTCACTCTCTTTGCTCTTTAGAGACTTCGCTCCCATATATCAGGGGGCGATGCCGGACGCACCGACTCATCATCATCAGGCGAAGAAAGTCACATCACGCATCCTCCTTTCCCTCCTTATCGTTATGTTTCTTCGCTTCGTCAGAAAACTAATTCTTTATTTCAGCAGTGTCTTTCTCTGTCGGTTTCGCTTTCCTCTGTGCCGAGCCGCTGCCGCGAGATCCGCGTAGCACGACAGCCCCCCAGCGGGGCCTCCTCTCCCGGGGTCAGGAGTTCGCCGGACTGTTCTTGTCTCATCATTGGGAGGATCGCACACATGGGACCTGCCCAGCGCGGCCCAGCCAGCGGGGCCCAGCGGGGCCCAGGCCCACTACTGGGGCCCTCGCGTGGGCAGGGGGC